GAAGCCCTGGTAGAACTGCCTACAAATTGTCAGATCCTGGAAGATCTTGCTAATGTAGTGATCTTCTTGTAAGCATTCTGCCTGATTCAACAACAAAAAACCCCAAACCTCATCTTTCTTCTCTCTCAGGGTCAACAAAGGAATATAAAAGGCATTTGGATTTTTAACTGTAATATTTCAGAAAACATTAGTTACATTTTTTTAAACCCAATAATATACTAATAAATGTGACAAAACAAATTCAATTAAATATTTCAGTATGTGGGCTATATGTTAATGTTAAATTTTGAGAAGTCTTCCCAAAATAATGTACATAAAAACTTGTTCATTCAGGAGTGACTGTTCAACAAGCACCAACTCCTATGAGACAAGAAGACATCTGAATTATTCCAGAGACCATTAAAATGTCTATTTACTATGACCACAGCTAAACCTATCATAAGCTATTGATGAAAATGTGCAGCAGTATAAGCACTTTGGAAAAGAGGGTGTCCTTTTCTTTACAAAGTTAAATATATGCCCGTCATATGACCAAACATTCATTTCTAGGTATTTAACCAAGAAAACTGAAAGTATGCATCAAATTTTCATAGTACTAGTTTTTTTTTTTACCAGAAAGTGGAAATACCTTGTTATTTAGTCTGTGACTGAATAAACAAATTGTGATATATCCCTACCATGAGATATTACTCAGCAATAAAAAGGAATGAACTCACACTATGGCATGAAACAAGACAAGATTGTGTATACACTCTGTTATTCTGTTTACATTAATTCCAGAAAGCTAATATGACAGAAAGCAAGTCAGTTGTCTGGAGGTAGTGAGGGAAGGAGAGATTAAATGTGCGAAAGGAAATGTCTGAGAGTGCAGGGTATGCTAATAAGCTTTGAGATAGTTGTATATCCATGAAGCCATCATCACAACCAAGATTACCAAAATATATACTTTAACATAAAATTGATGAAAAATAAACTGCATATCAATGAAAAACTCTAGTTACAGTAAGTTCAAAACAAAATCTCAAAGGAAATAGGATAAATTTTCCTGAATTGCATGGGTACCATGGCACTTGTTCTCAGTAATCAAATGCAAAGAGTAAAGAAAAGTATTAGAACACAGAAAAGAGGGAGATTACAAGACAAACGTGAGCCCTCTTAGAAAGAAATGAAGTGGGTTTTTTGACGTGGGTTTGAAATGAAGTGTTATTAAAAATGATGTAAGAATATAGCCTACATTTTAATATGACCTTCAGCGTTCTTTGAAAAGCTTGCAGAGGAAAATTAAAAAGGATTCCTTACAATACAATGATTTTCTTAATGAAAATGTGTTTGCCCATGATTAAAATTCTTCCTATTTTTTCTACTTCACTGATTTTCTCCTTGTGAACTGCTATCAATTCATTTTAGTCTGCAGTTAAAACTTTATCAAATGATGGTGGCACAGCAATTTAATAAAAAAGTACTGACTAAAAAAACCATTGAGTTACATTTTTGTAAAGGTTAAAGTATGAAATTCCTTCTTTCTGAAAATAACTTAACAGAAATAGAGCAGAGAAGGAAGTAATAGGTGCCAAATACCGGACCTGGTTGCCTGTGGAACACTGCACTTCTTAGAGGCGAGCCGTTAAAAACATTCGACCTCTTAATATAGTCTAATATTTTTAAAACTTGATTCAAAATAAGATCTTTAAGTCATAAAAATTGTCTTTAAGCCTGCTTAAAGTTAAAGTAAAGCTTATATTTTTTATAGAGCTATTTCATAGGGAAAATGTTGGAATTGGGGGCTCCACCTCTTAGTCCTCAAGTATTGGCTATGTCACACTATTACGCCATATTGGACTTTGGCAATTTACTTGATTCTTCTGTTGGACACATCCCGTAATGCCCAGCATATTCATTTAACATTAACTTTTTGGTATGTATTAGAAGTCCTCTTACCCTTCCCCTTACCTACTCATTTCATTAACTGATGCTCTCTATGCTTTCTGTGAAACAAAGTGACAATCACAACTCACTGGCTATTCAGCTGGGCTATACTCTAATCCCTCTCCCTCTCCCTCTCTCTGTATATGCTTCCACCAAGTACCCACTATGTTTATTTCCAAGCTTATTTGTGCCAGTTAGTCTTATGACTATAGTACCTAATTCCACAGTGTTAAAATATGGCTGTAAAGAGAAAAACATTTTTTGCATTGAGTCAAATGGTTTGGAAAAGCTACTTGAAAACATACATTATAGCATTAGGTGTGAAAACAACAAATATAAATGGCAGGAAAGGGTGGCTGAAAAAATATGAATCATTCACCATTCAGATTTTACTTCCGTTAATGAACAACATAGAAATGGAAGGTCTTACCTGCCCCATCAAACAATGGTCCAAGAGATGAGTATTTAGGTTTAAAGTATGTTCATATCAACTTTTAGTATCCCCTTGAGTTAAGCTTTTTGGTTAATCACCTCCATAAATGTGATCACTCCCTGAAGCACTTTTGCACTTGGCTTCCCAGATATGATCCTCTCCTGTTCCTTTTTTGACCTCACTGGCTCCTCGACAGCCAGTCCCAGGGCTTGGGCTATCAACCTTTTGCGAGAGCCTGTCTCCAGCTGTCCCTGACTCTCCCTCAAAATCCAGACTTGTATCAAATTCTGATCGGACATCCTTATTTCCATATATATTATATATCAAATTTAAAGTGATGTTTTCTGCTTACTTAACCTCATTTCAGGCACCCTGATCTTTGTCCTTTCTTAAACAACTTTTTATTTCAACTTGCAGAATATTTTTACTCAGATCTAATCACGGCTCCTCTGATGATTTCATTGGGTTTTCTCTTTCAATTTCAAATTCTGATAGAGGCTTTAAGTTGGTGCCTCCTTAGACACAGCCTCTATGCCCTCGCCTAACTGTGTTTTTTACAGTACTTCCCACTACTTGGAATCACAGGATGCATTTTTGGTTTATGGTGCATACTCTACCACACTAAATAAAACTTGATGAAGACAAAATCTATTTATTAAATGCCATAATCTGTTTACCATATTGGGCCCATAGTAGCTCCCTCTGAAAAACTGTAATGAACTCATTCAGTCTTTTAAAAATACTGTATTTTTTTAACAAGTATTTTTTTTTTTGTTAGTTGACTCTACATCAGTTGATAGACTGTAAGTAAATCTAATAGTGGTAGGCAAAAAAATAAAAAAAAATAAAAAGCCTCCCGAAGGTATCTACTCTCCAATGCCAGGAATCTGAATATTTTGCCTTACATGAGCTTGTCTAAGATTAAGGATCTTAGAATAGGGTAATATCCTGGATTATCCAGGTGAACCATGAATCACTAAAAGGAAAGAAATATCCCTGGCTGTAGTAGAATGAGATGCGACTGTGGAAAGATAGTCATAAAGATGCTACATTGCTAGCTTTAAAAATGGAGGAAGAGGCTGAATTTAAGAATAAGGCCAGCCTTGAAAAGCTGGAACAGGCAATGAAATGCTCTCCTAGAGCCTCCAGAAAGGAAAGCAGTCCTGCCAGCACCTTGATTTTAGCCCAGTGAGACCCATGTTGAACTTCTGATCACAGAACTCAAACAATACATTTGTACTAAGACACCAACTTTGTGGTAATTTGTTATGGCAGCAATAATACAAATGCACCAATGACAGTAAATACTGTTATGTGACAGTTTTTATAGCCTCAGAATATTATGAATATGCCTAAATTTAAAAACTAGTTGGTTTATATTATTTATATTTTTTACCATTTTAAATAGATACAAATCAAGTATATTAAGTACATACAGATTATTACCTTAGGTATTACTCCTGCCTATGAAGTGAAAATTAATGTAAATGAGATTTCATTATTACGAGACACAAT